TTTAAAACCCTCAGGATTGGAGTCACGACGATTAACCTTACAGAAGCGTGGGCAGCATGAGAAACTATTAGTGTTGCCATCAACTACAAGGACTAGCAAATAATCATCGAAGTAGACTCAAAGATTGTTATGGATTGCCTCAACGGTAGAATCATCCCTTCACGGAGATTGGATTGCATCATCAAGGAATGCCTGAATCTTGTTGACTTCTTCAATTTAGACATCAAATTCAAGCATATTTACCGGGAAACAAATCAAGCTGCTGATTAGTTAGCCCACAAAGCTCTTAATAGTCAGGGAGTAGGGGCTCTATGGCTTATGATCTTAGTTTTATTTGTGATGAGGATGTAAGGGGAAGAACTACCCCCAGGCTTGTATAACTCATCTTTTTTCATAAAAAAAAAACAAAGTTTACTCAGAAATATACCCAATACTTTTTTTTTGTATGTATAAAATGCGAATTAAAAACCTTTGCTGATGTGGCATTGTGATATTTTTTTTTCGAAGGAAATGAAAGCAAAAACAGCCAATGTAGTGGAAGACCATTTACCCTTTCCAATGGACATGTATACGAGTCCAAGCTTTTGTTCTAATCATTTTAGAGCAAATGATTATCCTCATCTCATGAGCCATGACTAGTTCAATGTTGTTTTTTATTTTTCAAATTAAGGGGCATTTGCAATTTGGCTTATCTAGCATCCCATGCACGCAGCAAGGAAATCCAAATCCTCATGTGTTAATAGAAAACTTGAATTCATTCCTCACCTCAAGGCTCACAGTCAATGGTTCTCAACCTATATATCAACTTTATTTTCTTGTGGGTTATTAAGTCCCATTTGGTTTGCAGAAATAGTGGTATGGAATTGGAATCAGAATGGATTACTTTTATTCTAACCATTTGATTGGGCGGAACCGGATTTTCATTCCCATTCTTGTTAAAATGACATTCCCCTATTTGAAGGAATGACCATTCCCAGCCCCTCCCTTAGGAATGAAATCTCATTCCTGCTGATTCTAATTATCATTCCCATTTCTATTTGAATCAAACAAACTATGGGAATAGACCATTCCAATTCTAATTCCAAAAGATTTCGATTTCAACTCTGATTCCAATTCCAATTCCAACTGCGAACCAAATGGGCCCTTAGTTTCAATCCATTTCCATATATTAACTTAGACAGTGGCTCACTTCCTTGCCATTGCATTTAGCATGATAATAGAAAGATGCCAAAGCAAAATCCAAGATCGGATTTTGTTCTCACACCATATTCACAGCACTTGCAGCTATGCATTGGAAATATCTCAATAATTGTATGTTTTCATTCATGGGGAGATATTCCCAATACACGGCTGTACGTATTGTAAGGGCGGTATGAGAACATAATCCAGAATTGAAGATTTCAATCTAATCCATCAAAACTGCACCTCACCCATGTACCCACTGACCACAAAATCTATCATCTATTTCACTAGAATTTAAATATATGATATAACAACTTTCGTTTATTTTTTTTTGGGTAAAAGATTAGCAAGATGATATCATTAATAATAAACACAGTTACAACATACAAAACAAAAGCAATTAAGGTCTAAGTCTTGGTTGGCCAGATCTTGAATTCACTCGAATGGATCTCTATTAGACCTTTCCTAACAAGCACGTGCGCTGCAGTATTACAAGATCTATTTACATAGCCAAAAAAAATAGCTAGATCATGAGTCAGTAGCTTTATATCTAGTTTGCATCCGAAAGCAAATCCATATTTCCAATTTTAAGCGCCTACACCAAAAGTTGATAGTCCGTCCTTGTACATACTCAAAACCTCCAGACTATTGACAATCGCCATTGCTTCAGCTTGAAGGGGAGATGATGCTGTGGATTTACCAAAAACTGCAGTTATTACTGCACCAATTTCATTCCTTAGAATTACACCAAAACCTGACCTGCCAATAGGGGTGATCATTTCAGCCCGACCTGGCCCAGCCCGGAAATTCCAGGCTTGGGCCTGGGTTTTGTGTTCAGGCCCGGCCTGGGCCCAGGCCCGGGCCCACATCAAGCCCACAAATTTTAGGGCTGGGCTTGGGCTTATCACTTCAAGCCCGACCCGACCTACATATATTTAAATTTACACATTTTGTGTATTAATGTATACGTATGTATACATGTTATTTTATATTATATTATATACTTTATATATAAATATCATAACATGACATGTATAATTTATATTATATGTAACATTTTATATTATATAATGTATAAAATAAGCTTATATGCATGTTACGTCATTAAATATATAGATATGTAATATTTTATATGAGTGATATTGGCCCAAAATCAGGCCTAGCCTGACCCGGGCCTGTATAGACTTGGGCTTGGGCTTATGTTTCAGGCCGGGCCGGGCCCGGGCCTAAGCTATAGCCCTTATCATAAGTGTAAAGCCCGGCCCAACCTGACCCATGATCACCCCTACCTACCAGGACACAAAAACTCCCATCCACGTTCAATTTTAGTCTCCTTGAAATTGGCGCTTTCCAAAAAGAGGGAATTTTCTCACTAAAGTTTTGATGTTGAGGAGAAGAATTTTACAATCCTTATGGGGAAGTCATGACTCACTCCCTCCACATCCTGTACACATTAAAGATAAAGCAAGTAAACAAGTTTCCAACCAGATGGAAAACCAGCAATTGAAGGATATGTTCTGTCTACTTCTCATATCCATAAAGCTTAGACGAGAGCCAAATCAGGCAGCTTTTGCATAATCACATTACAGTTTCAACGACTTGTACCTTCACAGTCTGGTCCGATCTGATTTGAAGAAAATCTCATGCCAAAATCAGTAAATTATGATATGAGAAATTTATACTTCAGAGTATACAAAGCCCAAATAACATACATCACTACATATTATTATTATGGTTTACTGTTAAATGTGATTTATGAAATTCAGACAACCGGACTGACAATTAATAATAAACCGAATTCTTAAGTCGAAAACAGACCAAACCATCAATAATTTCAAGGGGCAGGATGGATTTATAGGGGGGCTATAGTAGATTAGGAGGGGTTGTAATTAGAAGTGTAAATCGGGCCATGCTGCCTGTGGCCCGGCATGGCGGTTTGTAAGCCGTGCCAGGTTCGACACGATTGTGCGGATTGTGCTGGGCTTAGGGTTTTAGGTCCACGTGTTAGATTGGCACCGAGCTGGACGTACTGCTCGTGGTCCAGCTCGTAGCACGCCCAGCACGACTAGTGACACGACCCATATATATTATTTATATATATATTATATAAATTATAAATATATAATAATATATAGTATATGATATATTCATAAAATAAATATTTTTTTAAATTTTATTATACTAATTTATTTAATTATTGTTTATATAAGCAAATTGTATACACTAAAATTTGTATAAAATTAAAATTTTAAATTTATTGTCAACTTTTTAAATAAATAGCTTTGGACCGATGCATGGCCTAACCTGAGCCGTGGGCCTTGCCAAGCCGACCCCCCAAGTTATCTTAGGAAAGGCGGCAAGGCTCGGTTCGACCTGCTCACGCTGGCCCGGCCTAACCTATTTTACACTTCTAATTGTAATTTCAGATTTTTGAGGTAAAGTGTATTCCACTTATCCCTAATTTCAATTTGGGTTGACTTGATTTTAGATTTTAGCGGTTACTCGTGCTTGGTGCAACTGCATACCTCAATGCCATCCAAGTTGGATCGTGCAGGGTTTGTGCCCGCAACATAAAATGAAAATTCAACTTAAGCGGTAGATTTGCGTGCCGTGTCGCTTATTGTTCTCCACGAACATAAACGGAAGTAGGGATGCAAACGGATCGGACCGAATTGGAATCGGGGTTTATTCCAATTCGATCTGACAATGTTTATGACGGGTCCCATTCGATTCGATCGAATGTGATAGGACTTGATCTAAATTTAAATTTTATTGGATTTTTGGATTTAATTTGATCTGATTTATTTTCTTTAAAAAATAAATTATACCTTCTTAAATAAAAAAACTAAAAATATAAATATCTTTTAATTATTTTCATTATATATATAATACATTGGATTGGAGGGTGGTCCGAATTTGACCAAATAAGCCGATCCATTTGCATTATATGGGTGTCGAGTAGATTCCGATCTAACAACAGAAAACATGCGCCACCTATCATGCATGGGACCCATCTTTTCATTAAATAACGCCGGATACCTTTTCGTTGAGACTCAGAGGGCATTAAAGTATTGGCTTATTAGGAAGAGGTGAATCAATGAAGCAATGATATAAATATATGAGAAAAATATAAGAACCTTGTTTGTAGAATCTCCTTGATAGCCGTTGGATCGATCTAAATGTAATAACCAATTCTGGATGTGATGATTTAAGGGCTCTTCAACTTCTTTAACTGTTTGTTTGACCTTGAATTGAATCCAACAGTTGATAATTAGATTCCTATGAATGGTTTGATGCTTAGGCGTTTTCAGATTTTCTAATGGTCAAATCTTTACTGAATCAGAAAGTAATGGAAATCAGTGTCGCCACACACACACACAACCAGGCCTTGAAAAGCGCACTGGGAGTCTGGGCTTATCGTGACTGTGACTTTGCGAGGGAGGCCGCATGCCTTCACTCGCCTAATCGCCTTACAGAATCCCTCCCTATTCTCTCTCTCTCTGCTTTTTTTTTTTGTATATTTTAATTTTGTTTCTTATTTATTTTGGATTTTGGTTCAGTCAGCCAATTGTTTTCTTTCATCGGGTCCTCGTTTGCTCCACTTCTGCAGAGTCGTTTTCGATTTTCCGACCATATTTATTCAGCTTTCTGCTACTTCTTCGGAAGGAGGAGGAAGGAGGAAAAAAGAGGAATCACGAAGAATTCGTCCCATTAGGGTTAGCAGGTCCTATCTGCAAGCCGACGGAGATGGTGGATTTGGAAGATGTTGCCGCTGATATTTGGTATGGGTGTTGAATCTCTCATCCTGCAATTCTTTTCTTTCTTTTTTCCCCCGGTTTTCGATTTTAGCTCTGTAGTTTCATGAATTTTCTGGTTCTTTTACTTTTGGTTTAATAATAAGAAATCATTGTTTCATTGGGTATTTTTTTTTTCTGGGTTCTTCTGAATTTCTGCGAAAATGAAGCAAGTGCCATATCCCACTTGGAAGATGTTATGCATGATATGAAATTGTTGTTCTTTTTGGTATCTTTAAACGCTTGTAGATTATGTAAATATTGAGAATTGGGGTTGGTGGGTTGATTGGAAATCATTATACAAACTACTGCAAGGAGCTAAGAGATCCACAATACAAGACATGGTTGCGGAGATTTATCTAATGTTTCGTTATTTTGCCGTACTCTCTTCCAAGTTTTGTTTTTGTTATTTTCTTACTTTTTGGTTTCTTTTCAAGTGTCTTCTAGTATAGAATCTTATTGAGATCACTAGGGAGAATTATAGTGTCTAAAATAGAGAAGGGAAACTTGAATCAAGTGACGAATTGGGAGTCTATCTTTTCTTTCTTTTTTCCCCATTTTTTCCTTATCAATTCTTCATTTCTGAATAAAATGGAGCACCTTTTGATGGTTGCCAGCGTGTTGGGTGACAGTTCGGATCTTGACGTTGACGACATCAGGTGTGAAAATCTAGCGGAGAAAGATGTTAGTGATGAAGATATTGAAGCGGAGGATTTGGAGAGGCGAATGTGGAAGGACAGGATCAAGCTCAAGAGGATCAAGGAGAGACAGAAACTTGCGGCCCAACAGGAGAAGACCAAGCCAAAACAGACATCTGACCAGGCTCGGAGGAAAAAAATGTCTAGAGCCCAAGATGGGATCCTCAAGTACATGTTGAAGCTGATGGAAGTTTGCAAAGCCCGTGGCTTTGTGTACGGAATCATACCCGAGAAGGGGAAACCCGTAAGCGGTGCCTCTGATAACATACGAGCTTGGTGGAAAGAGAAGGTAAAGTTTGATAAGAACGGACCGGCAGCAATAGCCAAGTTTGAAGCAGAGTGTTTAGCCATGGGTGAGGCAGAAAATAAGCGAAATGGGTTCTCCCAGAGCAGCCTTCAGGATCTTCAAGATGCTACTCTGGGCTCTCTTCTGTCATCCTTGATGCAACACTGTGATCCTCCGCAGCGAAAGTACCCATTAGAGAAAGGTGCCCCACCCCCTTGGTGGCCAACGGGTAATGAGGACTGGTGGATGAAATTGGGATTGCCCAAGGGTCAGGTTCCACCTTACAAGAAGCCCCATGATCTAAAGAAGATGTGGAAGGTTGGAGTGCTAACTGCTGTGATTAAGCACATGTCCCCCAATATAGCAAAGATCAGACGGCATGTTCGGCAGTCCAAATGTTTACAGGATAAGATGACTGCCAAAGAAAGCTCAATTTGGTTGGGGGTGTTGAGCCGAGAGGAAGCACTTATCAAGCAGCCAAGCAGTGATAATGGTGCATCTGGCATAACTGAAATGCCTCCAAGCAATTGTGGCGGAAGGAAGGAGGCTGCAGCAAGTAGTGACAGTGACTATGATGTTGATGGTGTCGATGATGGTGTTGGCTCTGCTTCATCTAATTCTAAAGTTGACCAGAGAAGCCAACCAATGGATACAGAACCTTGTGAGGAGCCATGCAACAACTCAATCCATCCTTCTAATGATAAAGAACAAATCAAAGAACAACGCAGGAGAAAAAGACCTCGTGGGAGCTCAAAATCTGTTAATCAACAGAAAGAACCTCCTCAGAATGAGGATCTACATGGGGATCCAAGGAATGTTCTTCCGGATATGAAACAGAGAGACTTACAGTTGGTTGGATATCAAATGCAAATAGCACAGCCTGAAAATGATCCCATCTCATCTTTGAGGCCTTTGGAAAATGATCTGGAGATACAGCCCCAGTTACCGGAATCTGGGCTTATCAATCCATCTGCCATTCCTTCTGCTATTGAAACCATGTCGCAGAGCATGTTTGTCGATAGAAGACCCTTATTATATTCAGCCGTGCAAAATTCTGGGTTGCCTCCAAGACCTAACTACATTTTCTATGATCCATCAGCAGGATATGGGCTACCTCAGGATAAAGAGCAGCATGAAATGGGAATAGCAGATCCACAGATGAGAACTGAGGAAACAGGAGTTCATGTACCACTTCTACATGGAAATGCAAATGAGATAACTGGAGGAGATATAGGCCATTATGTAAGTGATAGTTTCCACAGTGAGGAAGATAAACCTGTTGAAAGCCATTTTGGGTCTCCACTTGATGGCCTCTCATTAGATTATGGAGGATTCAGCAGTCCATTATTTGGACTTGATGGCACTTGTTCATTAGATGCTGACTTAGATTTCTCACTTGATGAGGACCTTATCCAATACTTTGGAGCATAGGCTGTGGAACCCATTATTATGGAGCACAGAGTGTAAGTGATGTTTCTATATGACCTTGCATTTGATCTTGTTGCTTGCTCAAAATTATGCTCTTATGTTCTTTATTTTGATTTGTAGAAGTACTGCTGTAATGGATCACAGGCCACATCTTCTACTGCAGGGAGGAAAATGGACTTTTTCTAATCCATTGGACTAGTTGCTAATTTTGATTTTACCTGATCAGAAAATTGTAAGTAATTCCAAGAAAAAAAAATGTATAATATCATCCCTTATAATTACAAGAAAAAATGAAGCATGGTTCTTTATGTTTCAGTTCTTCTAGGTTGGGGGTTCATGTAAATCTGTGCTTACTGACTGGCTCAAAAGTAGAAGCCATGATTTTTCTACCATTTTCCTCAGAGAAGATGTGTTCAAACTAAGATTTTTTTATTGGAAACGGTAAGTTCATTAAAGAGAATGCAAATTACAACTGTCAACCCCTAGAATAGAGTGTCAAACTAATATATAAATGTTGAATGATGAGTTTTGCATGCTTACTGAGTTTGTTGACATTTGTACTGCTTAGTTGTCCTTTAGTTCTTTTTTTTTATGATGTATGTTTGTATATCAACATGCCAATAGATCATACTCTAAATATCTTCTCTCTTGCAACAATGAATTCTGGTCCTTTTTGATTCTCACATTAATTCGTTAGACATGCTTCTCTGCACTAATGATTGAAAACCTGGAGTGATGATGGCTGGTCTTCCACTAACCTAAGGCATGAGGCGCAAACCAGAATGCAAGTGGTGTAAGCCTCCCGAATATGGTATTTTTGATTAATGAATAATTAAAAATAAATCATCGTCATCATCATCATTATGCAAGTCTTATCCTAACTATATGGTCAGCTAAATAAATTCTGGGGCGTTTGGCAAGTTTTTCAACAGAAGATCTTCTAGTAGCTAAAGACCCATAAGACCACAAGAGGTTTCATAAGTAGATCTACAAAGTCTGAAGATTGTTTGATTGCAGTAATTGTAACAGATTTATAGAAAGCTAGGAAGACATGAAGATCGTTTGGCAAAGTCCATAACAGTGATGAATAAACATGTAAGTATGACACCCAATAATACATTCAAATATGCAAATAGTATTCTTGGGTCCCACTTATACAAAATATTAAAGTGGACCAATTAATGCATTCACCATAACAAAAAAAATCAATGTAGGTCCCCCACTCTCATCTTTGGCTTACACATACATCACCTGCTTGACCCACTCATGTGTTTACCTTTACAAAATATTGAAGTGGGACTCACTCATACATTCAGCTATACAAATAAAACAATGTGGGCCCCACTCTCATTTTGGGCCAGCACACATATTATCTATTTGCCCCATGACTGTTATAGTGTTCAATATCCTGTTTAGTATAAAATTGTAAATGGATTTCTTTCAACCATGGATGTTACAGTGTTCAATATCTTCTTTAGTATGAAATAATTCAAAGAAGAACCATCAGTTGTTCCAAGATTATTTATGATAGCAATTCTAGCAGATAACAAGAAAATTAGAGATTTAATAGTTGTGTGTAACAGAAATAATTTTGCAATAAATAGCTAATCTTCATCAACGGAAAAGAGGAATAAGCATTATAATTTGGCCATTGGGAAAAGTCATAAATGAATTGATAATCAATTGTAGCAGAAATAATTCTTCAATAAATAGTAGTATAGGATTTGAGGCAATTTTGTGATATGCCCACAAGGTGGTTCTTTCTTAGCTCTAGACCAGATAGAACTAGCAAATCAGTGAAAGAATCTACACTGCATTGAGTTTCAAAAAAAAAACATCGTCCCGCCTTTACAATAATAGTAATTAATATGATATCATAAGTATTTTTAATAATTCCCCTCTCTCTCTCTCAGTCCCCATTGTTGGTTCACGTTAGCAAACAACCCTTTCATTTGATCTTGGGAAGGAGCTTGACCATAGAAGGGAAAATTCAATTCCAAGACATTGAAGCAATTTAATAAACAGGGGAAGTAAACAATAGAAAATTCAATTAAAACAAAGAAAGCATATGGGTTTTAATAAATCGAATGGAAATTCTTCAAATTTAAGCGCTCTTAATTCTAAGTACTCGGGCTGGTCGTCTCTGGTCCCTCAACTCATCCTCGAAAAACACACAACAATTTTGATGAAACAAGCCTCCCCGCAGTTGAATTCATATTGGTATTAGCAGATCATCCGAAGACAAGAAAACCCAGAAGGGAAACCACAAGAAACAACCCAGATTGGAAGGCCAAAGAACCTAGCATGAAGGGAACGAGAAGTAGAAGCGAAGGTAAGCAAATTAGATATTAAACAGAGAGGCGAAGAGATACCAAGAAGGAAACCAAGATAGAAAAAGAAGAATTTAAAACCAGGGAAATTATGAAAAAAATTAAAACCCAGATCATATAAATAGCGAAAGAATCAAAAGGCAAAAGCAAGATGGTAGATGAATAAATAAAAGGATGAACAGAAGAGAAAAAGCAATAGAACTAACTAGGTTGAGAACTGAAAAGAGGATCAACTGAACAGAAAAATAGACCAAGCTCAACCCTCCCCAAAATTAAACAAATAAATAAAGCAGACCCATGTGGAAAATAAGTAAAGAAAAAGAAGGCGTACAAGGTAAACCCCTGTTGAGGTGAAAAATGAAAAATATTTGTAGGTTTGAAAAACAAAAAGCCTTCACCGGGAGAGGTGCTGTAGTTTTTGTCCACATTGATTTATCACCATCACCTGCGTTGCTTCATTAATTACTATTTATGTCCCTTCGAAATCTTTAGACGCGGTTTGGGGAGACCCAGAATTTTTAATAATCAATTGTAGCAGAAATAACTCTTCAATAAACAGTAATATAGGATTTGAGGAAATTTTGTGATATATCGGCAAGGAGGTTCTTGCTTAACTTTAGACCAGCTAGAACTAGCAAATCAGTAAAAGAATCTACACTGCATTGAGTTTCTGAAAAAAAAAGAACCATCGTCCCTCCTTCACAGTAATGGTAATTAATAATTCCTCTCTCCCTCTGTCCCCATTGTTGGTTCACATTAGAAGAAGAAGAAGAAGAAGAAGAAGAAGAAAGCAAAAAAAGAAGATGAAGAAGAAAGGAGAAAAATACTTTCTTCAGAGGAGGGTTTTACACGCACATTGAGGAATGGGTGGTTTTGTTAGAAGAACCCCAACTATTTTCTCAATCGTGCGCTTCTTGGCACACGTATGATAAAGCTTAGAAGGCCCAAAATTTGTATAAGCTTGAGTTGGAACTTCTCAATTTTGGGGATTTTTGGGCTTGCGCAAGTTTTTTGAGCTGCCCATTTTCTTGGCTTCTTGACTTCTTTTGCCAAACGGAAAAAGCTAAAAAATTAGACTTTCAGACTTTGAGAAGCCCAAAAGACACCATTGAAAATCTTGCCAAATGCAGCCTCTATTTTGCCATTTCATTCTGTTTAGTGCCATATAGTAAACATCCCCCAAAATAGAGAAGTCTATGGAAATTAGAAAATTTCATATTTCATCACATAAGTATCATAATCCATAATTGTATAGGTATCATCAGCCATTGATACATCATTAGTAATGTTATAAATAAAAAGTTCAGAATTAACAATTCACATAAATTGCATAACATTTAGCATAAACGAGTATGTCATCTTATATATTAAAATGGATGTAAAGCATTCAAAGCAATCAAAGTAATGGTACTCCAAGTTATAATATGTTATTGTAAATATAATATTATAATAAACAATTTTGGAGGGTTTTCCTCCTCTATATCATGTTAATTTGTAATGGGGAAAATGGTCAGTGGTTTCCCAACTTCTACATTATTATAAAAATTGACTTAAAAGGTATATGATCATATGAGGCATAGAACTCCTGTATAAAGTACAACAGAAGTGTACGCTTTTCCAAGCACCTTCAGGCTAGAGGCTTATGTCACAACTGTGCCTCTACCTCTTCTGTACGCCCCTGTGCATTTACATAGAACCTTGCCTGGAGATGCGCCTCCAAGCTTTTCAAAACACTTCTCTGCATTGACCATAGTTTTTGGGGCTTGAATTCATGAAGGAAATATAGAACATTTCTACTTTACAGATATGACCTTGAATTCAATATTTGACAGTAATCATGAGGTATAGAATTGATAACTCTTTTACTTGTTTTTTGCTAAGGTATTAATCCATTTGAGTTATGGCTGAGTGTGGTCTAAGCTAATCATTCGAATATTGTCTAAGACATAGTTGTCAAGGCGATACTTAGGCGATAAGGTGCCCTTGGAGGCTCGCCTCATTTAATCACCAAGTAGTTTTCAATAGCATGTTATAAAAAACTTTTGTATTCTTAATTTTTTAGGTTATAATTATAAAATAGACATTTTTAAACTAAAATATTCATTTTGTGTGTTTATATATTAATTTCTTATTTGTTAGGGTTTAATTAACACAAACATTGCTAAATGCTGTATTGAACCCTTAAAGACTTCAAAACTTGAACCCATGGTTTTAAAAAATGATTTGGAAACGGAATTGTTCTGGCCATCGGTTTCTAGGTCAACGATTCGACCGCCTTGTTCAAATGGATAGACTGTTCTAACAAAAAATTTAAAAAATAAAAAATAAAAAAATGATCAAAAACCGTTGAATAGGTATGGTTCAACCACTGGGGTCAATGGCTTATTGACTGATTCATTGGTTTTGGCCAGGGACTGGGTTTGGGGTAAAATGGAACCGATTGCTTGGACGGTTCCTGGGCCGAATGGTCCAACCATCCTGGTCAATGGCGGTTTGAAAACCATGCCTGAACCAATAAGTAAGGAAGAACATAAAATGTTGTCCAATCAACACATTTTCTTCTTTTTCATTACTAATTTTGTGTTTATATATTAATTTCTTCTTCTTCCACATTTTCTTTTCTTCTTTTCCTATAACAGAAATAGGGGTTCAACCCCTATATTTTTTGAATTTTCCTTTATTTCTTCTTTTTCTTCTCATGAATATGTAGGAATATGTTGATTTTCTATACTTTAACATGAAGTTTATACTTTTCTTATGAAAATTATGGATATTTATTAAGAAAATATGATTATGGAACTACCCTAAGATACATGTTTTTTACTTAAAAATATCCATTGCCTAGGCGCCCGCATAGGCAGCTAGGCAACAAGGCACCCCCCCTGTTGCCTAGCCTCGCCTTGGTGCCTTAAAAACTATGGTCTAAGATATTGGACTTGAAGAGGTTGATTCCAGCTCATTGAGTCTATCCAAAGACTGACACACAATATAAAGATCCAAGAGTGAAGAGCAGAGAAAAGAAGGATTATTTTTAGAATTGGCTAAGGGAATCAGTATTAGAGTTGTTAGGTGCATGTTAACGCATCAAATTTGGATCTATGTATATCCGAGTTGATCTAGTTTACTTACTGCCCTAGTGATCACGAAAGACTTGAGACCCATAGGAATCTTTCTTTGGGGGTCTCCATATGGTACTTGTGTTCTGATTG